GCAGACTACATGAGAAAGATGCTGGAGCAACAAAAGCAACAGCTGAACCAAACTGACAGTGTCCCACCCTCTGTGTCTCCACAGGAAAACCAATTAGTTGAACCAGGTGATTGGGTCCTCATAAAGAGCATAAAGAGGAAACATTGGTATTCACCTAAGTGGGAAGGACCCTATTAGGTTTTGTTGACCACTCCAACTGCATTAAAAATAGCTGAAAGAAGCACATGGATCCACTTGTCACACTGCAAGAAAGTGATAGATAGATCAGATGAGTAATGTGTAAAATCACTTTCTTAATTATTCTGTGGAACCTTACCGTACTGCTTAGCACTCTAGTAATTCTACTGTGGTACCTGTTATAGAATACGCATTTGGTCTCCTTCACCGACCTTCAGAGGAAGTCCATCGTACAAAGGGGGTTGTATTTTTTAGCATACAACCATCTCAAACTGGTGAAGGTTCAACAACTCTGCCGAGAGGTCATAGGAAGTAGACCACTGTGTAAAAGATTACCCATAGGAAACTTTTTGAAGTTTGAACCTAGATGATGTTGCAACTTTTCATATTAGTTTTGTTTTTAGCTCTCACTCAGGGCAAGGATTCTTGTTGCCCCCATGAGCCAGCTATTTGTAAAAGGGACGTCTATCTCTGCTATAACTCTACTAGAGTAATCAGTGTAGTGACTATTCCTTTTCAAACATTCTCGCAAAGATTTAAAATTGACCCGGGAGATTGGCGCGGTTATGATTTCTACCTATATCCCCGTGTAGTTCAAAGAACTCAAAAGAGTTGGGGAGACGTTTTCAGAACCACTGGACAGTGGAAAAAAGGATCGTATGGATGGACATCTTTAGCTAAGAAATGGATGAGTAGAATATCAGGGTTCACTGTTAACCATGCCTCCAAAGTTTTCACTATGACAATAAACTCCACAGCAGAACCCCTTGAGAAGGAAGGCTGTTCTTCCTCATTTATATGTGCACGGTCTAGTGAAACCGATCCGTGTTGGACATTGTATCTGTGCTCTGCAAATGTTACACAAGAAGAAAATGAGATACAAGGGATTCTTACTTCTGCCCAAGGTGAACAGATAAAAATTCAAAATATTAATGACCCGCTTAAAACGGATGAACTGTTTCAAGTCACCACTGGAATCTCTGGGCAAACAAATAACTGGCTTTTAATGGCAGAACAAGCAGCTAAAACAGTGTCTAATGATTGTCTTGTGTGTATGGGAGCCAGACCGCTGTTACGTGTGGTTCCTGCCACCATAACTCCTCAATGTCTTCTAAATATAATGAATTATACAGTTCCAACTGATAATTGCACCTATTGGGATAAGATCTATCCCCTGACCACAGATGAGAAGAAAAAACCAATCTTTTTGAAGAAAGTGGCTGTGGCAAATTTCACCTGTGTAAACAGGACCGGAGTGGGCCCAAAATTGGGTACACTAAATGAAAAACAATGTGCAAGTATTTTACTGGTATCCACCTTTTTTAAACCTCAATCCCGCAGTGACATCTGGTGGTGGTGTGGAGATGACAAATTGTTTGACAGACTTCCATGCAACACCACTGGATTGTGTGCTGCAGTCACCTTGATTTTACCTGTTTCTATTACTTCACTCACAATGGATGAATTGTTAACGACTGTAAACAGTATTTTACCTCACACATGGCATACTAGAAGAAGGAGGGCATCTGAAAATGCGTGGAGTCCAGATGACCCTACTTATATTGACAGTATTGGAGTACCCAGAGGTGTTCCAGATGAGTATAAACTAGTGAATCAAGTTTCTGCAGGATTTGAATCTTTCTTATGCTGGTGGTGTACTATAAATAAAAATGTAGACAGGATCAACTACATCCATTATAACGTCCAGAGGCTGGGAAATAAAACAGAACAAGGCTTCTCCGCCGTCCATGAACAATTGTCAGCTACCTCTCTGATGGCTTTCCAGAACCGTATTGCTGTTGACATGTTGTTAGCTGAAAAAGGTGGTGTGTGCTCTATTTTTGGAGATCAGTGTTGCACCTTTATTCCCAACAACACTGCTGCAGATGGCAGCCTCACAAAGGCCCTTGAAGGCCTTCGCTCTCTTAACAGCAAAATGAAAGACCATTCTGGAGTTGACACAAAAATGTGGGATGGATCTGGAGACATTTTTGGTAAATACAAACAACTGGTACTTTCTATTTTGATGTCTGTAGCTATATTTGCCGCCATCCTGACCTTATGTGGATGTTGTTGTATTCCATGTATTAGAGCGCTGCTAAATAGACTAATTACCACTGCAATACAACCCATGAAAACAGAAATGAATGCCCTTATGTCCACTGAGGAACACCTATCGGATGATGAAGACAGCGAAGAGGATGAATTCTCTTTACACTTTCCTGACTTTTATCCTAATCCCAACGACAATAACCCACCAGTTTAAAGTACCTCTGAGTGTACCCTTTACAGCTAAAAAAAGAAAAAAGAATGATTTCTTAGTTGAAAATCTGAAAAGAAGTAACTATTGAATGATAAAATAAATAGCTTAAAGTGAATAAACAGGAGGGAAATGTTGGGTTAATTAATTGTACATAAGTTATTCTACTTTAATCATATTACTTTAATCATATTATACTTACACATTTTTTTATCTCTATCTTACTCATATTACAAAGAGTGTTAAAACATTTAGTTTTGTTTGCTGTGTCATTAATGTTTTTTAAGTCTGTGCAGGAGGGATGCTGACTGCGACTGCTGTTAACAGATGTCGTTAAGGGTGTGGAAGAGAATGGAGAACTGTGCAACTAGATAAGGAGAGGGGTTCTCCTTATCCTATGATGTTGTATGATGTTGTATGATGTTGTACGAAAATTCTGGTTTCAACTGGGTTCTGTTCCCTCCCCCTTTAGCGGTTGAAACCACATTGTAATCAGGGCGTTTCTTCAATAAAGGGCTTGGAGAGCAGATACTGCTTCAGAGTGGGTTTGAAGTTGTAACTGAATGCAGTTTCTGATCCCCTCTCCTTGCAAGTAAAATATACTAAATTCTCTGTGTCATTCTTTGTGCAGGTTGCTGAATAAGGTGTTTGGTGTTTAAACCTAACATTTCCAAAAATAAAAAAAGTGTTACATTAAAAATTTTCCACAACAGTCTGTCAATGAAAAAAAAAAAAAAAAAAAAAAAAAAAAAGTAAAATCACGTGGTCTGATTTTTTTTTTTTTTTTACATTGAATTCGGGGAGATTGAATTAAAGTGATGCTGTTTCTATCCGAACAAGACATGTTGATTTGTATCACTGTTCCGCCTAAACACTGGTAAAGACAATAGGAGTAAAATGTCAACAGTATTTAGGCCGACAGTGACAACTGCTGGGTAAATATGTGGAGACCCTGGATATACTTAAAGTATTGGTGGAAAACATTTTCTTTAAGTGGCCATCTCGTTAAGGCTTGTGAAATTCATCAGGATTGTTGTAAATAATTTTCTGTTTAAATAAAACACTATATACCGACAAATATTGGTTAGACAGAGCTTTAGAAGAAACAAATAGTCTGTCATATAACTTCTACCAAAAGCTAAATACTAAGACCTGTTAGTAAATACCAGAAATATTTGATCATATATTAACAGAAAAAAGCATTGTAACAAAAAAACTGAAATTTGTATAAGATAAAGAGAAGAAGCTTAAAAAAAAAAAAAACTTTAAAAAACACTTGGTTAAAAAAAAAATCTACATCTTCTACTACCCATCTGTCTGTTTGTCCGTCCATCTGTCCATTATAAATAAGATAAAACAACCTTGATCTCTTCTGGTTGCTCTCTATAGTATATCAGATTGATGTCTACGTCAGCCACTTCATCATATTTAGATCAGAATCAGTATCAAAAATAGCCTATACCAATTTGGGTCAATCCTTGTCCTGTACAGAGGAGTTGTCTGCTGTTCTATATTGCTTCAAACCAACATCTGTCTCACTACAAGCCTTCGAGCGCAATCTCTTTACAAAACCCCATTTCCCACCTTCACACAATGGTCTCAGATTTGTGCATTTCATCCCTTATACATTCCTTAAATTACAAAAAAAATGGGGCATTGTTGGTTAGACTAATTTGAAGGTCTGTTTCTAACATTTATGACAATGATTAGCGTTTCATTAGATTAGATTTATGGAATGTGAGATATCTGTAGATTTGTTGTCAGTTGACAAGCTAAAGGATGACCTTGGGTGAAGCCCAGGGGCAAAAAGATTAGGGTAAGTGAACTGCTTTCTATCACATAATTAAATGAAAAGATGTAATTGTTTGGTAACTTGTCAGGTTCCTTATTAATCACTTTGGATGCAGGTCTGTGAACGATGATTGCCCCAAATTGAAAGTGACCCTCATACAGGTCAAAACATGGTGCTATTTTAAAAATCTATAAAATATGAATTTCTCAAATTGATGTTAGATTCTCCCACACTTCATTCAGATTTGTTACAGATCAGTTGTTGAACTGTGATGGCTTTATTCTGTTTTGTAAAATAAAATTTAAAAAAGGTGTCATTCTAAGACCAGGATTTGATCTCAGAGACTAAAAAGCTTTGAAATTGTTATATTTTTTCTCCAAAATATTTAAAAACATTGGTACAATGCATGTGATATTTAAAAATGTTGGTACAATACATGTCCAAATTAAACTAGATGCTGTTTTTAAACCATTTGGATGACCGGTAAAATGTTCGTCTCTGTGAGGGAGCAAATGTTTAACTTTCAAACACACTATAATTGTCACAATTTTGTTGTCATTAAAGCTGAAACACAATTACTCACATTAAGAAGAGGTCCAAATTTTAAATACTATATCCAGTTGTGACTGGTACGACTGGGTCTCAGCAGACAGAATTTTTCAGGGTGTGGGAAATTTTGTGAATTAATATATTTTATCTATCTATCTATCTATCTATCTATCTATCTATCTATCTATCTATCTATCTATCTATCTATCTATCTATCTATCTATCTATCTATCTTTAGTTTAACTTAGTAGAACAATTTGTTGACCTAGTAAGAACCGACCCCCTTCAACTCAGCTGCCCAAACGTAGGATTTATTACCTTGGAATGCCAGAGGTCTGGATGGCTCCTCGCATCTGCTCCAACCCTATAAACATTCTGTCAAGTCTAGGCTATGGGCACTTTTCAATGCTGAATGTGTGCCTGAGCGCTATACTACAGTATTCCTTAAAATGAACTTATAACAACAAGGTCGATCTTTTCTTTTTGTTGAAACTGCCTCTTACTCTTTGTTCTTTAAAACTTTCCATTAAATTGTCAATCCAAAGCATAGAGGTTAGGAGCCATTTCTGACCAGTCATGGTAAATACATATTTTTAAAGAAATTGTGACCTCTTGATGTCAGAATTTAAAGAGATTCGCACAAATATGACGGTTGTGATGTGTCAAATAATAAAGGAAATTTTCTATGGCAATTTGATTTTACAAAATGTCTTTCAAAAAGGATTTCATATATTTCAAACAAGAGAATAAAGCATGGATTCAGGAAACTTACACATTTTATTAGATTTTTCTAGACTTGAAACATAGCTGAAATAAGATGCTGTGCCTTTGTCAGACTTTTCAAAACTACAAAGGTGACCTTCTTTTAAAGAAAGCAATTTGCATTTCATGACTGTAAACTATTAACCTGACAACAGCCAGATGCATGTCTCGCTCCGAGAGTGGAGCTGGGCGGAGCGAGACATGCATCTGGCTGTTGTCAGGTTAGTAAACTATAGGATTGCTGTTCTCTATCTTTCCCTCTGGCTCTAATTGTTTCAGTACCATCTTGAATTGATCTATATTAAAGCTCACCAATACACCACAGCAAGAAAAAAGCAAGAGATAGCAGAGCAGTTCCAAGAAGATCTCCCAAGGCTGTGAGGTAGGGTATTGAGTAGCTATCAGGGTCTTTGCCCCTCCTCCACAGACAGTGGACAATGCAGTCAGCCAGACTCAGCAGCAAGAAGACCTGAGGGAGAATAAGGACAGAGAGATCATTGTGAAGCACTGAGTTGGGAATTGCATTCCATGCATGTCTTACTTGAATTGTAGAAGCTAATAGGAAGAAAACAGTGAAGAGAGCGCTGGGCAGTGTGAGACCTCCTTTAATCAGATGAATAATATGTAAAAAGACCAGCTGACCAGGAAGAACCAAAATGAGAAGAACCAGGGCGGATCTGTGGTTTGCACCTGTCAGAGAGAGGGTTAACATTTAATCCATGCAATAGTGAATATACATTTAAATAGTAATTTTACTAGGATACATTATTTGAAAGAAAAACACAAAAGCATTAAAACACTCCAGCTAAAAATCAGAAGCCTTTTTGGATTATAGACCAAATAATTTTTGTTCAGTTGTTTTGTTTTTAACCTTTTTGGGGGTTCCTACATCATCAATGACTAAGATTATATTCACCAGCAAACGGGTATTAAGAAATATAACACAGATGAGTAATTAAATGACAAAAACCTGAACCAAAGAAAGTGTAACAGGGGTTCAAGCAGCTTCTGGGACCATCTGGAACCTCCCCGGGTGAGTAATTCAAATGCAGATGTGTGGAAATGCGGCTAGAATGTATGGAAACCAGGTTTCCCCCCACACCTTAACAGGAAAACCAAAGAGACGTATTGTTAACAAACATGATTGTTAAAGCCACACAGACAACTTTCTCACTACAGTGTTAACCTTTTCACGAGTGAACTACAGGATATTGTCTCTTCTTGTAAGCAGCTAGATAAAAAGAATAACTAATATCAAAGTCCTCTTTATTCTCAGAAAACAGTGAGAAATTTGTTCTCCCTCCAACATGTGCCAGAACTGATTGACGTGATTGTCTGAGAAAAACTGTGCATCAGGATTTATAAGGAAATTAAGTAGGAATAGTAATCTAATGGATAGTAAGGAAATATTTTCTTTAAGGTGCATCTTCTCATGTAAAGCCTTTTCCCACCTCCTCCTACATTCAAATAAAAAATGCCTCCTTTGTGTTGTTGCTGTGTTTTTGTTTTGTATGTGGTATGTAAGCTACCTTTGACAGACTATGAGTGCAGCAGCTGAGTATTTCTGAAGTATGAATACTCAGAGGCAAAACAATCTTTCTTGCCATCTTGAGCACCATAATAGTTTTACGTGGATTATGTAAAAAGCTTAGCAATACAGCAGCTCATTAGTGAGAGAAAATCAGTGCCTTCCATCCACTTCCGTAAAAGTTCAAAAAACTTCCATCCACTTCATACCAACTTGATTGGTGACCAAATCCCTAATATTATACATAAAATCTTATGGTAATAATGTTTATAATAGCTTGCCCTACTTATTTTATGTGATTATACACAATTGAATTTAGTTCAGTTTATTTATACATTGCCTATTCACAATACATGTCATTAAATCATATTATCCAGTCAGATTGGTCAAGTTCAATCTTAGAAAAACCAGCTGAATGCATTGAGTCATTGACTTAGCAGGATATGCTCTCTCTGTATGAGCATGTGGTAGGAATAGAAATTCACACGAGTGAGATTTCATTGGGAGTGACACTTGACTGGTCAGGGTTAGTGCTTAGAGGACTCAGTAGCTGTAAGACTGAACTAAGTGATCACATCAATATATTCATGTGTACATTTGAAATGTTAGCCTGATCCATATTTTTACAAATGACTGCTTGATTTGTTACTATTCTATTAGATAGTGGAACTGATATCTAGATAAATCTAAATTTTAGTTAGCTATCGGTCATGTACCAATGTTAAGATTGAGGACTAGGTCTGATAGGTCCAGGTCACCACTCTATATCATCTGTTTTTTAAAATGTGTACCCTAAATCAGATTGTTGGCCATAATAGTCTCCACTTTGAACAGGAGCAACTCATGTCAGGAAAGCCTGTGGATGCCTGAAAGCTTGTTTCCTTTTCTGATAAAATACTTTCTGTTTGTAACACTGGAGATAAATTCATGCTCTCCAGATTAGCCTGTCTGGTTCACATCTGATTACTAAGGGACTATTTTGTCTTTTTCTTTATCCAGTCTGTTCATTTTGTGCCAGATCTTTGCAAACAAATAGTAGCTGCAGCCCCTTGTATGTCTTGAATCTCTGACATTACACTCAAGTATCACAAAATCCACCGTTTTGTCACTTTTGTAGCTTCTGCTGCTCCAGTAAGAAACACATCATCGGAGTTCTGTGTTTAGAAGCACTGATGTATTCTATTGGTGCTGCACTTAGCTGGTCAAAAGCAATCACCACCCCCTTCTTCTAAGACAAAGCTTGTAAGCACTGAGCCTGCAGAATGGATCTTATTTCTTCTCATTGGATCTCATCTGGACAAATATTACATATAATTGTTATCAAGAAGCACCCTGCCCCTTCCTGAACTTCATGCAATCACATCTGACGAAAGATACTAGTTCACAGGCAAGACTTGTTTATGTTAAAAAGATCCCCATTAGCTGGGGATGTAACTGTAACTGTTAATTAACTGTTAATTAACTGTTAATTAACTGAATGTAACTGTTTACATTCCTTTTCCTTTTAATATATCTATATATTTTTTATATATTTTTTATTTTTATTTCACGGTAGCTGTTATGGAAGTCCCAAATCTCATTGTATCTGTCACAGAATATAATGACAATAAAGGCTTTTTTGACTTTTTTTGACTGTCAACAAAGTGGGATGAGCTAGTCTTCCTAGGGTCCACAAGACAAAACAAATATCATTTAATCAAACATTATAGACATTATTATAGATCTCATCAGAAATCATTCAGAATAAGTTATTACATTCATATATATTACATTAATTTTCACTTTCATACAATAAATATCTTAATTCACTAATCACAAGTTTAAATAGTACATTCTCAAGTAATAATTAAAAGATACTTTACTATTCAGTTCAGACTGAAAGGATCAAGTTGGATATATATAAAATTAACTGATGCAAAATATCCACGTTGAAGTTAAAGTTTAAATTAATGAAAACCTAAGAGATAATCTGCAAAAAGACGCATTACATGACTAAAACAACCTCCTCCAGCTTTAAAATGGATGTCCTAGGATTGATACCTATCCATATTCTAGGTGGTCACCTGCAAATCAATTAGGAGTTAAAAGTAGATCAACAATACACCTTATGTCAAAAATGATTAATGATGATGGATGATGACCTTTGACCTCATGTCAAAAATGATGGATGATGATGATCTATGACCTATGACCTTATGTCAAAAAATGATGGATGGGTTATGTAAATGACATGACCTTATGACATATGAATTATGAACTCTATGTCCCACACCTGATCAAAAGAATTTCTTATAACCCGCAAACTTATGCGCAGTCTGGCATCAATCAATTTCATGAATATAAACATTGTTTTCTTCCCAATCAAAGACAGTCCCCACACATGGACTTTCCCTCCTACCAACATCCCACCAGACACCCCCATACGCACATACACAAGAACTATGAACTCTATGTCCCACACCTGAACAAAGGATATTCTTATGACCCACAAACTTATGCGCAGTCTGGCATCAATCAAATTCATGAATATTTCTTCCCAATCAAAGACAGTCCCCACACATGGACTTTCCCTCCTACCAACATTCCACCAGACACCCCCATACGCACATACACAAGAACTATGACTCCATCATCAACCCCCCCCCTTTCCTAAGCTAGCCAATGAAAATAGGGGGGCGGAATTGTGTCCTCTTTAAATATTGCTGGGGAGAAAAGTTTCTGTATTTTCAGCAAGAGAAAAAACACTTACTTTCCTACCGACAATGTCAAGAATTCCGAGAGCTATTCTTAAAAGCAGAGAATTACGCTCTGCATTGGAAAAAGAATCTGCATTGGAAAAAAAATTACCTGAGCAGCTTGAAGCGGGTGTAAAAAGCGAGATCCGTTTTTCCGTCTGCAAAGAAATGGAGGACGCAATGGGAGAATTCGGGATCGAACCTTTGGTGAAAGATGCTTCATCTTCGACAACCCTGGACGCTATGGAAGACTCTGAGACTGCTTCAACTTTGACAACCCTGGACACTATGGAAGACTCCGAGACCACGCCTTCCCCGGACATTAGACCGGCCGAAGAAATGGAGGACGCGATGGAGGTGAATAAAAGATGTGCGTTGCCGAGCGGAACATCTTTATTATCCGAGACGCCAATTTCCGTATTCCAAGCTTCGAACCACCCCCTCGAAGCTCCCAAGAAATCATCGGTGTATCTATGCCGGGTTCAGCACCCTCCCTTAGAAACCCTGCATGAAGAATGGTCTTTAGAGGATTCCGGCATGGTTGGGGCATGGGGATACATCTTCAAATACGAATCCGGTGAGCTCTACCTTTACCAACTGGATCAAGAAGAGAAGCTCACACCCTTTTCCAACACATGCAACCTTACCTATAATGACTGGGCAGTGCTGAGATTGGTGGTCCCCTACAATACAGAAATAAGTGGGGAATTGGCTACACCAGATCGGTCAGAGTTGATCGGTTTTCGATCCGATGTTGAAATCGTCAACGGAGAGATGCTTTTTAGCGCAGTTTGGGAAACAAAATCTACCACAAACGGGGCCTGGTCTCTCCGAGCGAGCAGGCGACGGAGCTACGAGGCTTTTTCCCCCGACCTGTTTGTTTTAGAAGTTTTCAACATAGAAAGTGGGATCTTTAGGACCATGCTGGCGATACCATTTAGTGTATGGCGCCAAAAAATGATCGAAATTGGGGATCGAATTTCCAACCTGTTCCGGAGTTTGCGCTGCTGGCTTGACATTCTGACTGTGAAAAAAAACCCTCTTTTAGACACGCCCTCGAACCTCCACCCTATATATTTAGCGGGAGGAAGCATACCGGCACACATCCCTTCAAGAAGAGGCGAACCTACAGCTGATAGAATGGGGTCGTACTGGGATTTATACTCTCCTATTTCCCCCACACTGACTCCATTTCTCCCGCCTTCACCACCCTACCGTCCATCGCCGGTGCTTTTTCAATGACGAAGCTAATCATCCACCATCACCAACGCCTTTTCCAAGCGAGACTAATGAAGTAAATAACCTGAAGGAGGAAAAGAAATTGCTTCCCGCTCTTTCCGAGTCTGATGAAGACAGGGCAGCGGGAGCCTCACCTGATTCGTCCGAAGACGAGCAAACCAGCCTCGTCGTGCATCCGGCGCAGACTCCACCGATTATAAACGGGGAGGTGGATGAGGATTGGATCTTTTCCTCACACATTGCTATAGTAAAAACAGCCTTGCTTCATTTGCTTAACAACGTCGCTTTGGAATATAATCGAGAGACTTGTTACGGATGTCAAACAGACCACCCGAGTCAACTACAGCATCAATGTCTCGAAGCATTGAAAGAAGAATTCTATCAGACTAACTTTATCACGCTTCAACGTCGACTCAAAACACCGCAACTCATTCCAGCCATTCAACATCTGATGAAAGAACGCGGACAAGAAGCGGAGGATTTCAGGGTGAAGATAATTGTGGAGACTCTTTTGTACGAACTCAGATCTTCGTTCGGACTGTGTGCTGCTGTTGAAGAAGTGTATCGGAACAACAGAGAAATTTACAAAATCAAACAACT